AGCTGTTAGTTTCCATCACTTTCTCCCCATTTAAACTTGTAATTATAAATTAATTCCACCATGTCCAACAGATCAATTCCATGTTGTGAAGTGTCACTGCATTGTGGAATTAAGTCTTCATCTAATAATTTCAGTGCATCATAATAAACTTGTGTAGACTCATGTGGCATAATATGATAAATAATTACATCTATTCTGGCTACTCTAGCCGCCAGAATTTGTAATATTGTCATTAAAATTTTATTTCCACCATATGCTCCACAACCCCATAATCCTGTATGAATGACACATTTCTTACCTGACTCTGATTCTTCTCTGGCTGCAAAAAAGCCCGTATAGGCTGTTTGAAATATATGAACAATTTGTTCTCTCGAATATGTTCCATATCCACTAGGAGGTGCTTCCATTGCAATTAAATTGATCATAGTTGGTGGATTTAAGTGTGTTGTTGCCTTTTTAATGGCATCTAAAGATGCTTTGCCAAATGCATTGCCATACAGACCATCTGGTCGGCCTTCTTCCACGTTTCTGTTCACAGCAACAGACACTGTTCTTGGCGAATTGAGAATTAATATTGGTGTTGGTCCTTGTGTGGTTCTTGTCAATGGTGTAACTTCAATTATATTCTGAGATTTTAACGTGATTTCTTCGAGTAGCATTGGTAAATAGGGGTTTTCCGCTACTTGCATTTCATCTTGTGCAAATAATGAGCCAGAATATGCAACAAACAAACGAGTATGAGCAAAGTTTAAATACCATTCACAGTCGTTCGATGGTTCATATCCAAATACATCATGTTTCAATATGTGTTCAGTATTGCTGCTTTTAGGATTATAGTCTGCTGGAATTTCAATCGGTCTCCATCTCGAATATACAATTCTTGCATTTATGTCTCTTGCATATTGCATTGATAAATCAAATAAATACCGCTTATTTTTTGAAGAAAATCGAATAGAATTCTCATGTTTTTTTAATAATTCACTTGTTGAACATTCCAGTCTAGCAATATTGTATGGCTGCGATGTCATGTTTGAACTGTGGAGAAACAATTTTACGCATAGAAGTGGCGTTGAATTTCACAGTAACGTTAAATAATATGACGGTTGTATTACGTAGCTTTACTAAATATAGATTTTATAGAAGAAAAAAAACATAAATGAAAAAACGAGAAGAAAGTTAAGAAAAATAACAAAACGACATTACAATTAATAACTATGTTTTACCTTTCTTCAGTCTCTTACGCTTTTTGGATCATCTGCGATATTTTTCTGTTGATATTTCTTTCCATGAGTCACATTCTCTTTCTTCTCTAGAGAAAGAAAAAGCAGAGAACAGTTATTCTTGCATTATGCTCTTCTACCGAAAAAAGAAACAAACGTAGTCTGAAGTATTTGAAAATGTACATCCTCGTACTAAAAATCGCACAAAAGTCGGCAATTAACCGTAAAAACTCGTACGATTAATCGCCATTGATGAACAACTTTTTCTAGGTACTACTAGGTTCACACACATATCAGGAAATACATATTTGTTTCTGTTTTTTCATTGTTTATTATGTAAAAGCACACTTTTCGTGCACACGTTTATCTCGACTCTTGTCAGCCGTAGTAATAGAACATGGATCCTTTCTGTTCACTAAACTACTACGGAGCTTGACAATAACATATTCCTTATTACCATACTTATTACAACGTGTTTATATGTTATTACATAACTATGTGCTAATATTTCAACTACTGATGATGAAATAACATATTCCTTATTACCATACTTATTACAACTTATTTATATGTTATTGCACAACTATGTGCTAATATTTCAAACATTATAAAAGTGTTTTGTCGTTTAGCATATGCATGAAAAATTTGTTACGTTCTTTTGTATATCTGAAAAAATCATTAAAATCCATGGATTGGGTAAATAAATATGAAAATGCTACTGAATTATATAACGATGCAGTGCTTCATTGGCCAAACAACAAATACCCACCTGGAAAATGGATTTTAGCATCATTTGATGAAGAGTCAGTTATAGTCTATCAAGCATACAATCAAGATATAGCACAATTTGCTTGTGAAAATGGTCGTTTTACAGGATGTCCTGGTTATAATGAAGACCGTATGACATGTATGTTATGAAATCTAATAAAATTGTTAAAAAAAAACAGAAATTTTATTAACCTAGGGATAAAAACAAATTTTCTTTGGATGATGTATCGATCTCGATGGGCTACAAAATACAATCAACAATATATTTTAGCTATATGGCTTCGACGTTCAGCGTTTGATAGTTATTTAGCACAAGCCGTACATAGTTCACATAAAGGTCATCCGAAAAAGAATAAAAAAGATTCAAAAACAAAAACTCATGGAGGATCAATTCGTTTGCAATGGGATCCTGATCATCATCCAGATGGTCAATCAGTCATTGGTCGTCGAGCTATTCAATTAGGTCTTAAAAAAATTAAAAGTTTTCTCGATGGTCGTGATATTATATGTATTATTGATATAACCTCATTTGTTCAAACTCAATATAATAATGCTGTTTTACCAAAAAAAAAACTTGATCAACTTCGTGTTCCTGTTGAACGTGTCTATGAACCTGAAGACGAACAAACTCGTCATCATATAGAATTAGATTCATGAACAACACAGCATGATTAACATGATGTTCCTTTTTTTCTGCATATGTAGAACAAAAATTTATCTCAAACAACATTAAAAGTATAAAATAAAATTCTTATTCATAAGAACTAAAAATACTTCTTGAGGGTAAGACAAAAAAAATTGAACAATCCAAATTAGTTTATATTGACGTTCTTGTATGTAGTTGAAGAAGTATAGGTTGAAAAAGATTGAACTGGAGTTTATAGGATGAAGCTATAATGTGTGGTGTAGAAGAATCGTTGTTTGAATGGATGTGTATGGCAGTATGCTTTATTTAGAATAGCAAAAAAAGTGTTTGTTTTGTTGAAATGATGGATGAGATGAAGGCAGTGTTATATAAAATAATTTTTAATGTTAAATAAAAAATGTAATGGTTCTAATAGAGTTTGCAAAGAGGAATAAAAATATTTCATGATTTTGTTAATTTTTGATTTGTCAATGCTTAGGTTATGATTAAACGGTCACATTGTCAGTTGTTGGTTTTGTTATTAGTGACTTTTTTTATCGTTCTATTTGAAAGAAGATGAAATGATGATTGTAGATTTAATCTATGGTATATGATTGCGTTGACAAACTTACTTTTCTGAGTTTCATTCTTTAATAGTGATTGTTTAGGTTTTTTGCGGATAAGTTCTTTTTGAGCATCACGATGATTTCGGTTGCGACAATCATTTTGTCATCGTATATATGATGCATGTCTCGTTTAAACGAATTGAAACGTTTTTCATGTGTATAATGAACAATTATTTTGATTTCAAACTCAGCGTTATTTTTCTCTGTATTGTTTAATATGTCTGTTCTCTGGATTGATTCTTCATCTGTTTGATCGTTGTCAAGATCAACTGTAGCTGCACTAATGGCCACTTGTAATTGTTGATGTGTAGGTTGTCGTAATATATTCTGACGTATACGTTTAAATTGTTGTTCATCATTAATAATTGATAAAAATGATAATGTTGATGACATATATTCGATGGAAAATTTTCGAAATTGTTTATCAATAAATACTGATGTGGATTACTAAAAGATATTTAAAAATATTCGTCTTTGTTAGATTTATATGTAATAACATTACAGTCCTTATATAATAACATTAGTCCTTATATAATAACATTAGTTTAATATAACACTGTTTATTTTGAAATGCTTGATATGTAGATAAATATCGGACTGTTCTTGCAAGAGAAGTTTGTATAATATTTCCAAAGACATATCGAGGATGATCAGAGATAAATAGTATAACATAAGATTCAGCGGCTGGTTTATGATAAACTGATGTTACGAGATTACCATTATTATTAATCAGAAGTACATCAAGAAATGGCAGACAATTACCAATTTTATAATCTAATTTAATATTTGAATGCCATGTGTTTGCTTCATCTAAGAATTTAATTAAGTCTTTTTCAGTTTTACTCCATATCATAAAAATATCATCAATATGTCTAAGAAGATTCTAATATAAAATTTATTTTTTATGTTCTATTACACTTACCTGCTATAAAATTCTCCTGTCATGTCTTGCCGACAAACAAATTCTTTTTGCCAGTTCCACATAAAAATATTTAAAAAGACTTTTTTTAATACATTTATCAAATCCTTCGAATAAAGAGGCACCATCAATAATAGTTGTTTCCTTACATTTGTCATCATAGTATTTTATCTAAAAGTTTTGAAATATTTGTTGTTAGAGTATGAATAGTATTCTCAATGGGTCGAACTGATATATCATTCTAAAATTTTCAATCGAACAAAATAAAAGTTTAAGTATCACATAAAACTTGTACTATACCGATAAGGTTTTTAATTTAGTACGGTAAAAGTGGAAAAATCGCATTTTCTGAAAAACTGATCTTTCGCAGTTTCTTTAATCCGGACAACAAAACAAACATTGCCACGGTAATCAACGTATCCGATAGCCTATGTGCCATGTGTT